CGGACACAACTGAGCAACATTCATTAGGGTAACTTCTGAATTCCTAGCTGAGGATTCCTGTAATAAATGACAGAATAACAAGAAAAAATCAAACAGACATTTATTAATATGTATATTTCTGATACACATGCAAAATATCAAGAAGAACCGAGTAATTCCTTAAGATGGCCCAAGCCACCACCTTAAATGCATCTCCAGCTGAAAACAAAGGAAAGGTGATGGGGCACCTATGAGAGGTTAACAGAAAAAGCAGCTTAAAGCACAGTAGGGTTGTGTTATGCAGACTTCATTCTCCTTGAAGACTGCTCTTCAACAGGATTCTGCTGTGATTTAGAGCCATACTTTTTCTGGTACAGAGAGGCAGACACCTTTACAAAGGGACGTTTCCTTTATTAGTGTAAATGTCCCTCACAGGAGAGGAATTTCTACTCTGTCTTCAGGGTTTCTCCCTTGTCTATTTCTCAAAAACAGAATCAACTTAAAACAATCTTTCTGCCAGACAGCCCTATTCTGGAGTGACACATTGTGTCACCCTTTCATTCTATTCTATTTTTGAAATTTTCTTAAATATCTACAGTGGGAGCGGGAAACACTATAGAAAGCAGTTGACAGAGGGGCACAGAGCTGTTGCTAGAAAAACAGCTCCTCTTGGTTCTGAGCCTCAGTGGAGGCTGTGGGAGGAGAGGACAGAACACAGAGAACACGGGTCTACCTGCAAGTCACATGACCCTAAGCCCATCATGTGCCCTCCTGGGCCTCTGGGTCTTTATCTGTGAAAATACCCACCTGGCCTCCCTCGGAGGAATCCTGGGACACCTAAACGAGCTACAACAGCTCAGAGCGCTCTGAAACCACCATAAAAACAAGGGTTTTTCATCACTTTTATTATTAGAAGTCCTGGTAAGAGATATACTCTATTCTTGATGGCAGAGGCTGGTTTTGCCAAAGGGCTTGGAAAACTATAGTTGCTCACAGGTAATCACAGTAGAACAAGAACTTTTGAGAAAAGTCATGTGTAAAGCCAAATTTTCTAGACTGTAATTAAACTTTCACTTCTAAAATGTTTAACCATGATGAATGCAATCTTTTAAAGAGTCTCCAACTTCCCTGACTACATAAAGAAAATGGATTGAGGGGGGTGGAGGAAACAAGTGAAATAGGTGAGGGAACTTAAGAGGTACAAACTCCAAGTTATAAAATAAGTAAAAGGGAATTGGGGGCAAAAAATAAATATACAAAATTTAAAAAAATAAATAAATCATGGAATTATAACATACAGCATAGGAAATATATTCAATAATATTGGAATAACTTTGAATGGTGACAGTTGGTAACTAAATTTATCATGTACTGTATAAAATATTAAATCACAAATGACGTATACTAGAAACTAATATAACATTGTAAGCCAGTCATACTTCAATTTAAAAAATTACTTTAATTTTACATTAGTAACTTACATATGCTTTGAAAAAGAAAAGAGGATGGATGTAAAACCCTCATTTATAACTCAAGGTCATCACTGTGGATATTACTAACATCTAATGGCTAGTGCTATGCTCTCAAGAACCAGCAGGGCGCACACAGCAGGTCTGCTCTGCAGGTCCCCATCTGCTTGGCTCAAAGCCCCCTCCTTCTCTTCCCTGATGTGTGGTCCTCAGTGGTTGCTCTCAGCCCACAGTATCTTTGCCACCAGCAGCCACTCCTCAGCCTCCTGGGTTGAGCAAAGTGAGGGACACATGGAAGAAAGGGCTGGGAAATAAAGGCAAAGACCACTCAGCTCCTGGGGAACCAGCCCTGAGTCAAGGCACAGAGCCCACTGTGGACAGAGGATCCTGTTTACTTCCTGCCCATCAGCTGAGCTCCAGAGTGAAGATTTACACACACATGGGCTTCCCACGGCCTCCACCTGGACCAGAGACCACCAGCAAAAGTGGATTCAGACAAAGACCAAGTGACCAGACAAGGCTGGGCCACTTCTAAGGGTCCTGGGAAGAGGACATAACTCCCGGAAACACCTCCCCTCTCAGGGGAAGGGACTGGGTAAACCCACTCTGGCTCTCTGAGGTCACCCCACTTACACAACAGCAGGTAGAGACCTCACCTCTCATAGAGAAGCACTGATGACCTGGGGAGGTGGTCTCTGTGACTCAGGACCAGGCAGAGACTTCAGGCTCCTCCCCTCCACCCTGAAGGCCCCAGGCAGGCGGAGACCTGTCCTCCTCACCTGCAGTACCCATGGAGGTGCACACAGGGGCCAGGGGTGCTGGGAACTCTCCGGCTGTTCTGTTCTAATTAGGTGTGACCGGCAAGTGCTCCTTAGCCTGGCACTTGTTTCTCTGAGAGGCAGAGATACTCCGCAGTTCTCACAGGACAGCCCATGGAATTATCCAGGCCAGAATACTGGAGTGCGTAGCCTTTCCCATGTCCAGGGGATCTTCCCAACCCAGGGATTGAACCCAGGTCTCCCTCATTGTAGGCAGATTCCTTATCAGCTGAGCTATCAGGGAAGCCCTCTCATAGGACAGAGGTTTTCATATCTCGAAATCCTAAAACCCTAAAAGCTTCACCCTGGACTGGTGTCACCCTGCTTTTTCCCACTGGTGCTGCCACGAGTACCTGCGAGGCCCCGCTCATGCTGTGGGTGGTAAGAGCACACTGCTTGGGATCATGGATGATCCATGGGGTGTTCTGTGCACCTGAGGGATTAAAAGAGGGCTGGAGATCAAAAAGGAAACATGTTTGTGTTTTAGAAAATCCTGGGCTGAGTTTAGATCTTCCACCATCTAAAATATAAAGAAAAACAAGCAGTATAGACTGATCACAACATGGGAAGTTGCTTCAGAAAATCAATCATTTAACTAACTAATACTGATACTAGTACTAATAGTACTACTACACAGATGAGCCCCTACATTTAAGTCCTCTACTCCCCACTTCTCTGCCATGACCACCCAGCAACCAACCTCCTGAAAGGGCCCAGGGCTCTACATTATGCAGCCCCAGGCCTGGCATTCCTGGATCCCCAGCAGGAAGTATTACTGAGGCTGGAAGACTTTGAAATCAACACTCCCAGCACCACGGTGGGGAGGATTCCATCTCAGAAAGAACCCCAGATCCTGTGGCCTCTCCCTCTATGTCTGCTTCTCCCATGAGCTGCCACAGCCAAGACCCAGGACTCATATTAGGATGGGATCCATCCAAGGCTTAGTGACCCCACCCAAGGAGCTAACAGCCCAGGACAGCAAGACAAACCAGCAGCTCAGTTCAAACCCAGCCACATGGGCTATGCTTTGAGACCCACTTGACTTTAAGACTCTTTAGCATCTGATACCAAAGAGAGAGAGACCTGCTTCAGGATATGATCCAACATTAAAACCGGATACCACTCATCCAACCAGGCACCTGGCACGAGTCATAGGCACACACTGAGGCCCCAGGGTTTCCTGATAAGCAGAATTCATGAGAGCTCTGCTGGGTGAGGTCAGGAAATCCTGCACAAACAGGCCACACCAGCTTGCCACCTGGTATTTCAAACAGAGACTTACTGTGACTATGTGGAAATACCATCACTGAGACAGCTACACACGGGACAAAGAAAGGCTGGGACAGCCTGAAGGGCTCCTGCTCCCTCTCCCACCCGCTGTCCTTCACAAGGCACTGCAGCATCTAGGTGGTCAGTGCCCTCTCTAAGGTGGCACTCTGCCCCACACACCTGTCCACCCTCTGGCACAATGGCCAATCCTCTTCTGACATCAGTGAGAACTCCATCCCCCAGGACCACCCAGTTACCTGGCAGCTGACAGACTCTCCATCTCTCCAGTTGAGTGGGGTGGACTTCACCTGCCCAGCTGCCCACTGCCCGTGGGCCCTTCAATACAGCACAGCCTTTAAGCAAGAGCCACACCACCCACCTGTGAACCACCTGGCCCACCCACCTCACCCCCATCACAAAAAACTGATGACAACTCACCACCTTCTCCACCTAAAACCCCCCTTTCACAGCAACTACATCTTCCATCCCTCCTGCTCACACACTCACAGGCCGCCCGTGGCCCTAAGGCAGCACTAAGGGACCACGGAGAGCACGAGCCACCCAGGGGGGTCTGCAGCAGACCTCCAGCAGGCTCAGCCAGAACAGGGGGCTGCCGGCACTGTGTCCCCAGGGGGACTGTCCTCTGGGGGATCTTGACCCAGGATCTTCAGGGTCACGGAGGTCACTGACCTCACAACGTTCTGCCTTTGGTTTGTCCTGCATAACCCCTCCTACACCCTCTGCCAATGCCAGGCTATCAGGATCCCCCTTCAACCAGGAATCCATCCCCACAACCAGGGAGAGAAAGTAGCATGGAGGGTGCACAGAATTCACGGTGAAGCTGGAGCTCCTTCCCATGGGGGCTTTGGCTCACGGTGCCAGCCACGGGGAAGGGGACAGCCTGGGGAAAGGTCTGCTCTTAGGAGTTCTGGGCAGCTACAGTCCAGATGCAGGGCCCTGGGTTCTGTTCCCCTGGCAGAGGAGAGGTGATGATATCTTCTTAGAAAAGCATTTATCAGATGTGACCAGGTCAAGGTAACAATTTTTACCTTGTTAAACTATAAATGAGTGCCATAAAATGTACATTATTCTGGGCTCGTGTCCAAATTACCTTCCTCTAAATCACAGAGCACATATTGCCTGAGGCTGCTGGAATCTTCTTTTGGTCAAAGACCAGTCAGCATTTATACTGAGCACCAGGAACTTTGTAATATAATATAAAATGTCTTTTATTTCAAGGCTGTCCTTCCACAACACTCTTTAATCGGTTAAAAGAAAAATAGCAACCCCTGGTTGTCCAGTCTTTGCCATTCTAAAGATAAATACAACCTCTGAGCTCTATCATGTTTCCGTGAGGGTTCTTCCTCAGACCTTAGACCACTGGCCTCTCTCCCGACCCGTCCCATCCATCTTAGTACTGAGATACATATACCAAAAAGCAATGCACAGTATGAAAGTCTTTTACCTCAAGAAATGTAAACATTCCCCAAATTAAATAGGATTTCCAGTAACACTTTATGATTGCTTTCATTAAGGAAGGCTCCTGTGCATCTTTCTGGGCTCTCTTAACTTCCTGATCCCAATACCTGTGATGAGAAACAGCACAGTGAAGAACAGCATGTCCACCACAGGGAAACGGGGAGGGGCAGAGTGGGAGATGGGCCTTCACTACAGGGAGCTCTGTGGGGCCCCATAGATGCTGGCGAACTACTCACAGGGCTCCTGAAAGATGAGTGGTGCAGACTCTGAAGCACCAGAGAAACAGGACTTGAGGGAGAAGTTCCTGATTCTGGAAACAAGTTTCTGCCAAGATTTTCTGGATTCACAGGTCATGAACAGCTCAGGAGGGCAGACTCCCTCCTCCAGGGACCCCACCTCTGGGGACAGAGCTTGGCCTCCAGGGCTGTGGCTGTGGACTCCCTCCACATCCACAGATGCACAGGGAACACGGGCTCCCCCAGCCTCCAAAGTGGTCTAAGCCTGGGGTCAGCCTGAGGTGGTGAGCATGCAGAGTCAGGGGAGGAGTCTCAGAAGAACCCAGAGGAAGGCAAAGCCCCCTCCACACTTTTAGCTGCACGTGGAAATTCTCACTCTCCCTCCCTTCTCCCTGATGTCTGTGCTCACCCTTGTAGCTCTTCTCCAAGGCACTGGGAGCGATCTTCCGGAAGCACCGAGTACATGTCATCTGGTTCTAATTTCCGTTTGTGACCAATTTTAAACAAGGGGTTTAGCCACCTGTTAAACATTAAAAGAAGAGTAACATACATCCAAATTACACATCTCTAATTAGAAACCTACATTCATGGACATTGTTTAAAAAAAAGTCTACATTTTAAATATATAAAGATACCAGGGGAAATCAGACATGTGCTTACACACATACATTCTAGGTATAGGAAAGTTATGCTGGCTTATACATGGTATAACAATTAAAGCAGGCTATTTGTGGCCTACTGTATATACATTGTACTGCTTTAATTATTAAGTAAAAAATATATCTAGAAATGAAAATAAAGTAACAGTGTTTCAGGCAAGCAGAATAGAGCTGAATGGCCATTGTGGCCATATCTGCAGATATGTCCCTGTTATTACTGAGGACTTCAATCTTCTGAACTGTATCAGACTTAAGGATACCTAGGTAGCGCTAGTGGTAAAGAAACCATCTGCTAGTGCAGGAGATATAAGAGATGCTGGTTCTATCCCTAGGTTGGGAAGATCCCCTGGAGAAGGAAATAACAACCCGCTCCAGTATTCATGCCTAGAAAATCCCATGGACAGGGGAGCCTGGTGGGCTACAGTCCATGGGGTCACAAAGAGTTGCATATGACTGAAGTGTCTTAGCACCAGTCATATTCAAAGCAGTTTCAACCTTGAGATCAAGATTCCCTTAGATCAGCTGTCAACACAGAGGGATTTTTACAGGGCATTATCTTATGGACACAACACCCTAAATCTAATAGGCTCTGGACCCTGACCTCCTTACAGTCTTGTCAGACTCCCCTCAGCCAGAACACTCATGTGAGCCTCTTTTTGACCCCAGCCTCCTGAAGTCATTCTAAAGATAAGTAACACCTTCCCAACTAAAATACACAGTTGATTCTTCTTATGGTCCTCCTTGCTATCACTCCCTGGCAGATTTATTTATTTTAAAAAGGAACATTCAAACATCCAAAAGGGCTGGAGTTTTACTGACTGTTGGATCTGTCACCATCAGCCTCAGTTGGGGAATAAATATAGCTCATCAGACTTTCAGGGAACTCCATTAGCAGCTGACAGCATCACTAAACTAGGTTTAATTCCTCCACGCCCAGGCTTCTGCCCGGGGACATCAAGGTTGCCCCCACTGCCACCACACCCCTGCAAAGGCTTCTGTGTTAGTCAACTCCCTGTTTCCTGGGGGTCCAACCAACTGTTCACTATAACCCCTCCACCTACAGGCATGGACAACCGTAGATAGTTACCATGCTTATGGGCTCTGGGGACAGGATCATACCAAACATGGAGGGGTCTGGCCATGCAGCAAGTACCCTGGATGGAAGGGCACCACCATGAACCTAATTGTGACTCAAGAAAACCCAAAGACAGTGTGTGCAGCCCTGAGGGATGTTTATTCCTCGAGGCCCCTATGGCAAGGGCCACCCACATTGGGCCATCAACTGTCTCCAAGAAAACTCTACCAGGGGACACTGGGCTGTAGGTTGTTCACACCCAGATCAAGGTTACATTCAGATTTTAATTACACTCGCACAACCTGTGAATCAAAGGGTGCCACTCATCTAATCAGGAGGGGAGCTGGGCTGGTAATAGCAGTTGTCACTCTTGTAGGATCCCTTTTATATATATATATATATATATATATATATATAAGTCAGTCAGAGACTGGCCTGGGTAAGGAGAGAAACCAGTTCTAACCTTAGAATGACAAAATCTCACTGGACCCTCTGGCCCACATGACACAAAGCTCTTGATTACCTGCTGGCTGATCAAGGGGGAATTTGTGCCCCAGCAACCATTTCCTGTTGTTTCTATGTTAACACAAGTGGTCAGAAAGAAGAGAGGGCATCCCAACTGCCAGAGAAAGCTGCTTGCAGACAAAGACAAATATTATATGGTATCTTTAAAAAACAATACAAATGAACTTACCTACCAAGCAGAAATAGAGTTACAGATGTAGAAAATTAACTTATGCTTACCAGGGGGTAAGGGAAGAAGGGACAATTGGGAGACTGGGACTGACATATATAGACTACTATATTCATGTCCAGCTCTTTGTGACCCCATGAACTGTAGCCCACTAAGCTCCTCTGTCCATGGGATATCCCAGGCAAGAATACTGGAGTGGGTTGTCATTTCCTTCTCCAGGGGATCTTCCCAACCCACAGACCTAATCCCAGGTCTCCTGCACTGCAGCTGGATTCTCTACTTTCTGAGTCACCAGGGAAGAACATATAAAATAAGTAATAAGAACCTACTGTATAGCAGAGGGAACTCTACTAAATACTCTGTAATAACCTTTATTTTTCTTTTTTTAAAGAAAAAAAATCTATTTTAAAAAATGGATATATGTATAATTGACTTTGCTACACTCCTGAAACTAACACAACATTGTAAATTAACTATACTCCAATAAAAAGAAATTTTTTTTTTTAATAAACAGGAAACTTGGCTAAATACTCAGAACAAGAATGGCCTGACTGAACAAATTTGTGACAGTTTCAAAAGAAGGATTCCCAGCTTCCCTGGGCTTCTAAGGCCATTCTTAGAATCCCTACAATTACTCTCCTTTTCTTGCTCTTTGGTCCACGATTCCTCAATTGCCTCATTAGTTTTATCTCTTGTAGAACTGAGACAATCAAGCGGCAGATTATCTTTACCCAGGGCTATGGGAAACTGGGACTCTAGCTTGGTGACAATCAGATTTATTTTGCCTGAATCAGGAAAACTGATCCTCTAACCCAACATATGACAATGCCCAAGCTCAGCAGGAAGCAGTTTCAAAAGACCAACCTTTGCCCCTTTAGACTCCATCAGGAACAAGGAGCAGTAAAAGGAAATGCTGTTGCCCCAGAAATATATCCCTGCCCCTTTCTCAAATGGAAACCAACTGATCTTTTCTGAGTTTCAGACTCAATCATAAAAGGAAAGAGAAAAATAAGAACTGATTAGAACTAGCCAGGACCCAAATGGCAGAAGACCTAACCTCCAGTAGACACAGAGCATCATTACACATTCACTGTAATATATTAGCTGCTAAATGACACACCCACCAGGACCACTACAGTTGACAGTGGCTATGGCAACAAAGTGAAGAGCTCATACAAGGACTAAAAAGGAGTGTTGTCTTAATTTCAGGTCCAAATCACACCCCGTTCTTGCATAAACCATGAATATTTCTCCCTCTCTTAACCTGATTCCTTTCCATTTGCTTCAGCCCTGCTAGATACACAGTGTCTCAGCCCAAATTGGGCTGAGAGGTTATTTGCAAACTAAGTCTCCTTCTCTACATTCTTTGGTCATTGAGCAAATCTTGTGCTCTACCATTCTCACCATCAGTTTACTTATTGGTTGTGGGAATATGAGTAGAGAAAGATACTCCCCAGTCATGATAAGGGGTCTCAATTTGGGCTAGGACGTAGGCACAAAACCAGGCAACCAATTCTATGACAAGCACAGCAGTTACATACACAAGACACATAGATTCCAGAACCAGACAGCCTGACTTGAAATCACACTCCACTGCTTACTAGCTGTGGGATGGTAGGCAACCTATTCAACCTCTATGCTTCAATGTGTTTAGGTGTGAAATAAGAGGTAATAGCTCCTTCCTCTCCAGCAGGAAGACTGGAAATGGGTGCCAACCAAAATAAAAGTCTCCAACTTCCATTTCTATGCACATGCATTTTCAAAATCAATAAACAGAACGTGCTTTGAGAGTTTCTTGCCCTACATGAAATTAAAGAGACATTTGTCTATTTTGCTATTATTTATGGTAACCACACACATATTCCTTCTTCTAGGACCCTCTTTCCTTAAGGGCCATCAAATAGCCAAGAGATACAGCCACATACACTGAATATACCACCATCAAAACAAGCATAGGAGCTGCCATCCCCCTGGGGATCCCCTAGGCTGTCCCATAAAAGAAGTATCAGAATTTGTGGGAAAGGTGAATGAGTTAGGGTCGAGAAACAAAAGATCTACTAATCATCCAAGTGTGATTAAAGTCCAAAGGTTCAGGCCTGCCTTTCTCTAGTCCCAGCTATTAAATGAAGACATCATTTAAGAGCTTCAGCACTCTGCAGCGTTTTTCATCTGTGTGTTTCCTCCCAGCTCAGGGACCCTTCAGTGGTTTCAGGACCACAGGACTCCTGGGCAGGACCATCTACATCAAGACCATGCACTGCTTCTCTGAGCTAGACATCTGGATGAGATCCCACAGGTTTCAGGGACCCCATCCCCAGGGTTTGGTCCTCAAAGGTGGAAGTGGAGATATTTGCAATAGGGGAAGGGGCTGTGGTCAAATAGACACTCTGCTCCTAGCTGTGTGTCCCAGGAAAAAGCAAAAGGTGTTCCAGAATGGTGTTCCCATTCATTTCATAAAAAACAATTGTTTTTTGTACGCACGTGAAATTGGCCACAACAAGGTACCAGGACAAATGACCACAGAGGGAGGGAGGCAGGGAGAGAAAGAAAGACATGGTCATAGTTGGGAGAGAGAGGGAGCTCAGGGCAGCTGGAACTCAGATGTTCACCTAAGGAACATGGGAAAAGGTGGGGACATTATTGGAAGATGGCAAAGGTGCAGGGCACTGATTAGATAAAGTTTTTTCACAAGCTGCTTGTTTGGGGTGAAAGTTGCAGCTTATTTCAGAACTGACAGCAGCTGAGCATTTCTGAGGCAGCTGGATAAGGTGGACACCAGGTTCCTGGGTCCTCCTCCCAGCCCTACTGCCACCGGCCCCGGGCACACACCCTCTCCTTGTCCCTTGGTCCCCAACAGAAGCCAGCAGTGTCAGGCATGTGCCTGTGGGGATTGTCACAGCTCAGACGGGCGCTTACCAGACAAACAGGCGCGAGCAGAAGTTCGCCTTCTGCACTGGGTTGGTCTTCACCTCCGGGGATACGGGCAGCATCTTGCTGGCCAAGGCAGACACAGACTGGGGTCGTGCTGCTTAGGTGACGGTGGGGCTCCTGCAGTTCCTGGAGACGCCGGTGTGGATGCTGGAGACTGGCCGCCCCACAGGTCCACTGGGCCGGAGCCTGAGAACACCTGCTTCTGAGAATGGAGTGACCTTTGTGCACCAGCTCCCACCTCCCAGGACTGAGAAGCCTCCACGGCCCACCTTTGAGGCACCCGCTCTGTGCAGGTGCTGCCACAGGCATAGGATGGATGCAGCGTGCGACGTTTGGGGCTGCAGGACCAAGGGACACCCAGGTAGATACTTCTAGAAGCCCCACGCAGGTGTGAGGCAAAGCTACCAGCTCTTTGATGAAAGCAGGCAGGCTCACTGCGGGGCAAAACCAGCCCAGCTCCCTGGAGCTCACCTGGCTACAAATTCTGCGGAAGTTCCTGCTCTAAGTCCAGGCACTCACCCAGAAGGTGGAGAAGGGAGGTTCAGGCCCCGCCCATCTCTGCTGCTCAAAGCTCACCCACAGGCTGCAGAGGAAATCCAGAGAAAGCTGGCAGAAGGAGATAGCAGCCCACCCTCTGGGCATGCTGCCCTCATCAGGACCAAACAAGGGCGCTGCAGGAAGTTCTCCAACTGGAATGGAGCAGGACCCTGGGGGGCCTTCCTGGGATAGACCTTACCCCTACCCCATGTCCTCTGCCTGTCTCTTGTTTGTAGAAAAGCTTCAGTCTCCCAGGCCTCCTCTGAGTCAGAAAAGGCTGGCTCAAGAATGATTGGAAGAATGTGAAGATGTAATAACAAAAAAACTTCATCAATAGATTAACCATACAGCAGTCACAGAATCTTTATAACAGGGTCTGGTGCACACTCCTGAGTTATTTTGCAGAGGCTAAAAAGTCCACCAGGTGGAAGAAGTTAACTGCATGATGACCAGGATAAACTGGAACCTAAGGATTTATGATGATAACCTCTGTTACATTACCCTACTCAACAACAATCAGAATAGTGCATGAGCTAATCAAGTACCCTGGACTCTCTCCCTCAGCTTGTCTTTAAAAACCCTCCCCTGAAATCCACTGGGGAGTTCCGGTCTTCTGAGCATGAACATCCTGTACTCCTTGCTTGACCCTTGCAATTAACCTTTCTCTGCTCAGAACTCCAACTTCTCAGTTTGTTTCACCTCAATGTACATTCAGCACAAGACCGTGGTTTGGCCAATACAAACCAGGCACCAAACATTTGATGACAGCCAAGAACAGGGTTTAGCACAGATTATGGTTATAGAGCTGCAGGACTTAGAGAAATGTAACAGAAGATTAGAAGACTTCAAATGATTTCAAAAGATGAATTCATGCTGTCATTAGAGATCTCCACAACATGGGAGATGTCTTGCACCTCACAGGTTACATTATGGGGGGACTCTTGTGAGCTCTCTGCTGCCATCTTACAAGGGGAATTTGGGACAAAGAGATTGCCTTATGCTTTCTTTCATCATGAGCTCAGCTCAGTAAAGCCGGAGGAGAAATCTATTTTAAAGAAATCCTTTATGTATTCAAACACTTTCTATAACTCAAACATGTAACAGTGGCATATGTTATAGAACACAGGTTATGTGCATTTGTGGGGAACTTACTTCACTTTTAACTCAAACAATGCCCTATTTAAGGAGGTGTTATTTGTTTTACAGATGAGAAAAATGAGGCTCAAAGGCAGCACTTCTCCAAGGTCTTCGAATCAGTAAATGATGAATCTTGATTTGGATTCAAGTCCAAGTCTAGCATGACTGCCCCACTGGTGGATGGTCAGTGTGTGAAAAGTGCCAAGAATATGCCATCTGAATGAATCAATGACTGTAGGATTGACAACAAAATCTTGGGCCCTCACTCATAAGTGATAAGTTATTTGTGTGGCTGCCTTACCAGCTCAGCAGCTTTTCTTCCCTTTCATTCTAAATGAAGAAAGATCAAAGTTTGTGGGGCTTATAACAAGATCACCTCATTATTCTTTGATAATTCTCCATGCACCCTGGCTAAAACAGTGTTATTAATAATGACTTTTAGCTTCAGTTATGCAAGATGAATATGTCCTGCAGAACTGGGGTATGACAAATGTGGCTACAATTGACAATTCTGTACTGTGCCCTTTTCATTTGCTCAGAGAGTAGAGCTTGGGGGTTCTCAACATAAAAGAGAGAAAAAAAATCTAAATGATTAAGATGTGAAGTGACAGATACAATGATTGGCTTGGTATGATGAGCATTTCAGTGTGTATGTATGTCAAGTCATCAAACTGTACATCTAAATATATACAATTTTCGATTGTCAATTAGACCTCAGTAAAGCTGGAGGAGAAATCAATTTTAAAGAAGTCCTTAATGTATTCAAACATTTTTTATAACTCAAACATGTAACAACGGCAATGTGTTATTTTCTATTGATGGGCAGGATGGTGGTTTATTATACTGTTTTCTTGATTTTCATGCATGTTTGAAATTTTCTATTGCAAAAAGGAAGACAGAGCTGAAAATTGTCAGTTTTCAATTACCCATCTTTCTGGTGCTAACACTTTCTCAGATAATGAAACCTACAATCTAAATAATCACTCCTCACCTAATTTCCAGTTGTCGTTTAAATTCTCTACATTTTCCATCTCTATAAATGTTAAGCTACTAGGTCTACTTCAAAGATGAAGAAATTGCTTCGTGAAGTTGGAAGTCTAGTGACTTCCCTTGTCACTATTCCCCAGACTGTTCTCTTCAGTTTCAACTATCTCAGGACCATAGTTATCATCTCCAAATTGTCAAATATACTCAGTCCCTTCAGCTTCTGCTATATTTTTTTAAACTAAGATTTTTTTGGAAACGTTTTAGCATTCTTTTCTGAACATAAACTAATACGATGTTTAGAAGAAATGTTGAAATCTAGTGTTAAATTGTTCAGAGAAGAGTGGCTCTAGAGCCAGAGGACCAGATACTTCACTCATCCTACTTCCTACAGGGTTACTGTGACCCTCAGAATTTGTGAAAGCATTTTCTACAAACTAAAACCTAAAACAACATACAAATAAAACTTTGTTTTAAACAGATGTTTAGTGAATGCCTTTCAGGTGCAGGACCACTAGCCAGACACAGAGCTTACAAATGGGGGAGATGTCATAAGACCTCTATCTGCACTTGTTTACTGATCTGAAATGATTCAGTACTATGACTAAAGGAGCAATAACAAGTGATGAAGAAGATGCAGAGAAAATGGTGTCCTCATATACTGCTGGTGGGAAGGTAAAATGGTACAATCACAAAGTTACCACATAACCCAGCAATTCTTCTCATAGTTTATGTATCTAAAATAAATGAAAACATATGTCCACTTGAAAACTTAGTTACAAATGTTATAACACCATTATTCATACAAAGGTAAAGGTGTTAGGGGTGGGAGGAAGCAAGTGTACACCACCTTATGAATGGGTAAATGAAATCTGGAATTGCATGCAATAGGATATGATTTGTCAAATAGATACACCGCTGTATGCCACAAAGCAGATGGACATTGAATATATTATGCCAAGTTAATGAAGACAGCCATTGACTCAAGTGAGGAGGACAAAACAATATCTTAGGAGAAATTCAATCTTAGGAGAAAACAAATCTCAGGGATACACGGTGGAAATCTGTATCTATGCAAACTATAAATTATTATATGGTTTACAGAAGGGGTCCTCAACCACTGGTCTGTGGCCTATTAGGAACCAGGCCACATAGTAAGAGGTGAGCGATGGGCAAGGAAGAGAGGCTTGATCAATATTTACAGCCACTCCACTCATCACTCGCATTACCACCCGAGCTCTGCCTCCTGTCAGACCAGCAGCAGCATCAGATTCTCATAGAACCACAAAACTTATTGTGAACTGCCCACGTGAGGGATCTAGGTTGAGCACTTCTTATGAGAATCCAATGCCTCATGATCTGAGGTGGAGCTGCAGGGACGATGCCAGCACTGGGGAGCACCTGCAAACACAGATTATCATGAGCAGAAAGGTTGACCGCACAGAGACCAAAATAAGTCAACTGCTTGCAGACTCAGATCAAAACCCTTCCAGTGAGTGACAAGTGACAAGCTGCATCTGCTGGCAGGCTATACAGCAGCACATGAGTCAATGTACTTCAATTGCACAGCTGCATCTTGTGATAGGCTTTAGTCACAATCCGAGACTAATTTTAGTGTGCACAAGGCCTGCCCATTATTTTATTTACCACTTCCATCAGTGGCTCTTTCTTGCACTGCACACTTGTCTCCATCACAGTTTTGGTAAGCCCACAAGCTAACTTTACCAAAATGAGTGAAAAACAAACATAGTTGGAGAGCTTCTTTGATAAGAGGGAGAGACCCAGTGATGAGACAGCGAAAAGACTCTGAGACCACCAACAAAAAGGAAACTTCATTTAAGATAAAATATCGAGAGTTTTACTTCAATTATGGGTTCATTGCAACACATATACGTGGCAACCAGCTATCCAACAAACTAAAGGGGCTGCATTCAATGCCAAATTGGATCTATGGGCGTGACAAGTGAACATTGAGATTTTTGACATATTTCAGATATTAGCAGAGATTTTGAAAGAGACTGAGCCAGAGACATCTTTCTCCCAGCTGGTATGTGATCACCTATCTCAGCTTTCTAATGAGTTTGAGCATTATATCCCAACCACAAAAGACTCTTGATCTGGGAAGGAATGGACTGAGACTCATCTGTTAATAAGCCAGGTGTCTCGACTTTGTTCATGCTAGAAAGAGGATCAGCTTCTTGAGACTGTAAATGATGATGACCTAAAAAGCATGTTCGAGACAACTTCAAGTTTCTATACGTTCTAGATTACAGTCAAGGCAAAATATCCTGTCACAGGATTTTCTCTGTGGCAGAGATTGCCACAAAGCACTGAAAATCCTGCTTCCATTTCCAAAAAGCTCTCTTTTTTGTAAGGCAGGGTTTTCTGCAGTGACAGCAAC